GAGCTGTCCCCAGTCTTTTTTCCCCCCCTAGGTAGCTTTTTGTTACTTTAGAAAAAGGGAACTCACCTGAACCTCAAATTGCTAACTGACAAACTGGATTAAAAGACCCCCAAGACCCCTAGCTCTATGAGATATTCTTATACCAGTTACAACTCTGTTGTAAACCTGGTTACCTTTCCTAAGGCTACACCATTACCCCTTTGTATTTAAATTTAAGGTTGGTCTTTCCTAAGGCGTCCACAGCATAGTTGGGACTTGTGGAATTTAGGGATTACTGTAAATCATTTACCCAACAGCTATTGATAAAACTCCAGAGTCTTTGCTTAGCGTACCAACAAAGCTGCCATTACTCAGATAACTAGAGACTTGATGCGTCTCAACATTAGCAAGAGTCAGTGTTGAAATGATGATTACCACACATTCACTGTGGGGGAAAGACTCAGAAACGATCTGTATTGCTCAGCAGCCAGATAGCAGATAGACGAGGGGCACGTGTTGTTCTAATTCCAGGTGAGACCAAAAATGAGAATAAATGAGTCAAGGTACTGGTTTTTCTTTTAAATGAGAAATAATATGCACTACAAAAGACTGAAAGCCAGTAGTGCAAAAATGCTGGAGGCTTGTACACAGTTTATTGTCAGGAAGGATAAACTGGGCAGCTGGGTGGTGCGGACAGAGGAGAAGGCAGGAATTGAGTGTCTCAGGGGCCATGCTGCCCACCTGTAACCTTCAGCAGGTAACTCTGAGATGGTTCTGTTCTTTAGATGAATTACTGTCTAGCAAGCTCTCTGCCCTATTGTCTCAGACACTGTGGCCAACTATCAATATCTGTCTCTCTCTCTTCCTCTCTCCCTCTCTGACTCTTAGATTTAAAAACAAAAAAACAAAGCAAAACAAAAAATTTAAAACCCTAACTCCTAAGGATGTGAGTTTGGAAATCCTGATATATCTCTCACTCCCCTGATAAACAAACTTATAGATAAATGCATAGATGTAGCATATGTATATTAGATGAAACCAAGTGTATTTGACCCACAAAAAGAGAATTTTATGTGGTTTGAACCTAATGTAAATGTTTTACACTGTAGTTACATAGATAAAGCACATGCCTTAAATCTACTTCAATAACCCATAAAAGATATTTTTCCTAGTAGAAAAGTGTTTTGCTGACCTCCCTAACTGTATTTTCAACATTTCCCATCTTTATTCCTGAGATGTTTTCTACCTCCTATCATTCTTCTACCTTTAAATCCTGCTTGGAATCCTCTAGGCCTGGTTCCAAGTCCATATCTGCCAAGAAGTTTTTGATGACCCAATCCCACATTAATTTTTTCAGGCCTTTCAACTCATATAGTATTTATAAGCCGTATCACACACTTTGCTCCTTAATTCTATATAGGCTTTGATTGTTTTCTCTGTCCAGAATTATGATTGTAACCTGACAACAGAGGCCCACTTTTTGCAAATATTCTTGGCTCTCCAAAACCATATGTTATTGACTGATTACTTTGTTATTAATTAATCAGGTTGACAACAAAAATTAATAAGTAAGTATTTTCTCTTACAGGGGAAGCAGTTCACTGAATAGAAATCTTTGACTACATTAATGCAACTTTATTCTTCTTGCTATATTCTTGTGGTATTGTGTGTCATTGTGGTTTGAAATATCAATATCTTTAACCCTAATATTTAGGTCACATAAAAATTTCACGAAGAAAAATTCATCTAATCAATTTTCAAAGAACACTGTCAGAGATAAATTCACTCATTTTAAAAGCTTTATTTTGAGATAAATAAAACTCAGGTACAGAAAACCACATGCTCAAAATGTATAGCTAAATGAATTATTATAAGTTTGAGTTGTACTTTTTTTTCCTCTATTTCTTGCAAACTGGTATTTGGATCGAGAGGCTTGATTAGAATTAGTAGGTTTGATCTTTTTGGCAAGACTCTAGAGCAGCAGTTCTCTACCTGTGGGTCGCAACCCCTTTCAGGGTCGAACGACCCTTTCACAGGGGTCGCCGGGTACTCGTATGTGGGCGTATCTGCATGTGGGCCTGGAGAGCGGTGTCTCGGTTCCTAAGACCATCAGAAAATATGTGTTTTCCTATGGTCTTAGGCGACCCCTGTGAAAGGTTGAGAACCGCTGCTAGAGGATAGTGTGTTTTTTGACTAGGACGTACTTAATATCTATATGTCTCTATTTTATCTTAGCAACCATGAATGCTTAATATCTAGATCCATTTGTTCATTGGGGCTGTAAAACAGAATTATTTGAATTCTACCATTGTTTTTTATTTGTCAGTTGGAATAATATTATAAGGAGATACTTCCCCCTCTTATGTGGTTGGTTACACAGTGGTAGAGTTTATTTAAGAAAGACATAAATATTGGATTCTTTACCCAGTTTTCAAGATAATAATTTGGTTCTCTGTCAACCTCAGAAGTGACCAACTCTTATTATTCTTTGAAATATTATTATGAATTCATGCATTCATATATATTTGTTAGCTTTCAACTTATTGAAACTTTTATCTTCATTGAAGCACAGATTGTACTCATCATCCTTGGTCGTTGTGAGCCCTCTTTGATTTGATTCCTGAATCCGTTTGAGATGACCCTTTTGGTCTTTGGTTGTTTCCTTTTTATCTAGTATGTCAAGATGTTTCAGGCTTAATTGGTACGAGCTTGAATCATCTCAGACCAGAGTCAACCTGTTCTCCAACAAGCCCTCATTTCTTGCACTGCAACATACTTTTTCAAATCACAGTCTGGGTGCTAGGGATGCTGTTGTTATTGAGTCAATGTTTCTAGACTTTTCCAGTGGATGAAACTAGAACAGAGATAAAAATACCTTTTAAGTTTAAACTGGTTTTTCTAATTAAATTTTAGGAACACAGTACGTAATTAACCTCATCTGTTTTTAAATCTGTATGTTCTTTTGTCCACACCAAGAACCTGGTTGTCAAAGATACATGGAATGATAGAATTAGAATTTCTAATGATTACTCGCTTGTTTTATCCCATATTACATTAGTCTCAGAATAACACTAGTAGTAGTATCACCATCAATAATAATTATCGAAACATGTTTGCTTATACTATACCTGTTTTCTCTTAATTTTGTCTTATGATTGTAATATACCTACAATATCAGAATATGTAGCCTTACAGAATAAAATATCTCTCAGTCCTCACTTAAACTTACTTTATTCAAAATAGCAGTTAGTTCAGTGTCTCCCCTGGTCATTTGGGATGTCTAAAGCTAATTTTTCTAGTAGTTCTCAGGATCAGGGGAACAATAACCCTGATTACTTGTATGTTGGTAACAGTTTATATTTCCCCTTTATATTTAAAGTTAATTTTAATTGACTATAGAATCCTTAAATCACATTTTTCTACTCTGCATATCTCAAATAAGTTACTTCAATTTCTCCTGGCATAAAATGTTGCTGTCAAAAAGTTTGATAATTATATAATGTCCCCCCTTATAAGTCATGTATTGCTTCTGACCTGATGCCTATAAGACTTTTTTTAAGTAAGCAAAAATTTCTTGAATTACATTTTTTAGTATTTGTTTTGTTCCCTTTCTTTGGTTTTCTTCCTCCAAGACAACTATTACTTGTATGTTAGATCTTCTCTAATATTTGTCACTTTCTCCCGAATTCTTTTCTATTCCTTCTTAATTTCTGTTTTTTTTCTTTGTTCTGCTTATTTGCTCATCTAGATACCCTTTATTTCTAAAATTATTCTTACACTTACATATAATTCTTTCTTGAGTTATGCCACTTCATTTCTGAGTTGTATCTAATTCTGGTTTATGTTACTCTTGCATTCCTGGCATTTTATATTCTTAATGTTGGTTAGCTCATTTTGAAATAGTAAATTGCAGGTTTGATCTATTTTTCTTGTGTATTTTTGATCATGTGTGTGTTTGTGTGTGTGTGTGTGTGTGTGTGTGTGTGTGTCTGAGTGATTTTCTCATTTTATTTTGTAAGGAATTAAACCTCAACAGACTTTCGTTGCCCTCTTTCATGTGATTTGTTTTTCTGCATTCCCAGAAGCTCAAATTACTTTTCTAAATGCACAGAACTCCATCTCCTGTGTTTTACATTAGATCAGGGCTCATGTCTTAGCAAACTATATAAACCTGTGGTCAAATCTGGCCCAGGCCTTGTTTTATTTGGACCCCATTGAACTAAGAATGTTATTTTTTATATATTTTTAAAGTATTATAAACAAACAAAACAAACACAAACAAAAACTCACATATGGGATAGAGGCAAAGTGGTCTACAAAGCATTTACCGTCCGGGTCATTTACAGAAAAGTTGGTTAACTCCAATATCCACTAAAAGCTAAGGCAGCTTGCTTTCTAAGTTCCTGTGGCTATTCCTCTCTCCTACGTTTATCTAGACTTTTCGTTTCCTTCATTTCTGTTGTTCTTGTTCTGCTCAAATTTTAAATTTATTCCCAGTAGTTTGTCCCCAGTGTGAGCCCTGGCCTGGAAAAGAGACTTTGCAGGTTAATTTTGAATATTATATTTACAGTTCTCAAACTAGTCTGCTGCCGTTTGTAGCATTACTTGATCATTCCTTTAGAATGATCATATGCTCATGTTTGATGCCTCCTTGTGATTTTTGTCACACATGCTGATGACATGCACGCCCTAAGGTTGTTGGTGGTGTTTCGGCATCCACAGCATTTCAGGGTTTGAGGGTACACCTCAGTCCCCGGTTTTGTTCCAAAAGATCAAAGGCTTTTATCTAATCATTTTTCGGTCCAGTCACTCGGTCTCTTTTACGTGCAGATTCTGGAAGCTCAGAAAAGCATGTCGCCACCACTGCCACCTTCTTCCCAGAGTCAAACTCCCTTGTTTTGAAACCACAGTTTACTTAACAGATTGTATTAAATATGATTTCAGGAAAATGTTTACCCTGAGTATTTCAGTACACTAAATAAATCAACATGTCTGTATTCTTCTGTTTTTTTTCTCTCCAGAGTCAAGTTCCCATTATGTAATCTCCCTAAAAGCTTTCAATAACGCGGGAGAAGGAGTCCCTCTTTATGAAAGTGCCACCACCAGATCTATAACAGGTAAGCTAAAATGGTTAAGCCTGTGTGACAGGTAGTCAGTGTTGGAGTTTTAGTGGGGAAAAGAAAAACAAAAAAACAGCCAAAGCAAAAAAGAAAGAAAAAATACAAGTTAAAAATGCATGTAGTCATGTTCTGAGCCTTTTATGTGTGTATGCACACACAAAGATTATTTTTTTGGTTTCCAAATGAAGTGAGAGAAATTCTGACAGTAGCTTAATACATGAACTTAGAGAAAGAGAACTCTCATTCTCCCTCTTCTCCAGGTAACTTCATATTTCAGTGACCTAATACCACGATTCATTCCCCTGAGCAGCTTGTCTCAAATCAGTTAATTTTGGCAGGAAAGTCTCTGTACAAAGGGACACTTGCTTCTCTGTAGAGGTTCCTTCTAGGTAATATGATGAGAATGAGCTGCCCTCCTGGGGCGGCTTGGCCTGGGCCAAGCAAGTTACACAGGTGACTTCTTCCTGACCTGGAACTACATACAGGTCACCTCAACAGTGCCCAGGCCTCCGGACATAAAAGGGATTGGTTGCTTCAAGGGATTATTACCTCTAGGAATTCTTATGTGAGTTGGATTGGAAAGGCAGCCTGCAAGAACAAATAGGCTCAAGGAACTGAGAATGGGATGGGTAAGAAAGGGAGTTCCAAGCCATTTAGGGAGACTATTTGTGAGCAAGGCTGGGCTCACTCAAATACAGAATGAATAACACTTCTGCGGGTCTGTCTGTCCAGAGTTCCTGGAAAGTCACGTGATCACCCTCTTATGTCTGAAATCTCAAAGTAAAAGCCAAGATTTCCTTCTCTTTAACTAATCCTTTGATTCTAATAGCTTTCAAACCCCACAACCCTCAGACCTCAGATAACTTATCAACTATTTTTACCTTCATGAGAATAAAGGCTCTAAGAGCAGGCTTTGATAGTAAGCCGCAGAGAGCATGGAGACTTACAGAGTGCCTAAGTATGAAGTCCTGAAAAGGAAGTGGGAATAAATAAACATAAAATAAATAGTGGAACCCTGTGACTTTTGCTACCACCTAAAGTTATATGAACTTGGTGCAGTTTGTTTTCCAAACCCACAACTTATATTCATAGACTATTTTGAGAACATACAGTTGTTACGCGATTGTTTTGAGAGCATAACATCACTTTATTGATTCCAGATTTCTTGTAAGACAAAGTTGTTATTTCAGAATCTCCTTGACTCTTTGGCCATTGGTCTCAAAGTCTATGATCTGCCTACAGTGGTATGCAAATTTGGGGTGTATATCAACATATATTCATTTATCTGTGGAGATGGTATATATCTTTCATTGTGTTTACAAAGAGGCTCATGACTCCCCCAAAAGGGTAAATAAGAAGTATTTTTGAATTATATAAGTTCATAGATAAATGCCAACAAACAGCATTACTTGAAATTTGAGGGATGCATTCTGAAACTGAGTCTCCAAACAACTCAACCAGCCATGAAAAATGTACTATGCTAAAATCCAGAAATAGTAGGATTGAGTATTACCATTGTTTGAACCAGAATTACTATTTCTCAAAGCATTACTATTAGACGTATTATCTCTAAATATGGAGAGATGAGGCAAATAGCGGCCCAGAGCAGAAAATACAAGATGCCCTGATGGGTGGGTGTCTGGGATTTTCACTTCTCCCTTTTCTCTTGTCCTGCCAGCAGCATGGTTCTTGGAGAGATAGCGGGCCCCTTTGCTGTATCCAGGCATGCCATTATTTCTTCCCTGCCTGTGGGAAAAGATGATGCTGATGGCTGCTCATTCATGAAGTGACTTTGAGCTTGTGATCAGGCCACACAAAATATACTATGGCCAGTCTTTCAAAGCTCTTATTTTCTTACCAAAGCTAAGCCCCATAAAGAAGGGCCAATTAGTTAAAAACAAAAACAAAAACAAAAACAAAAAACACAAAAAACAAAAACAAAAAAACTGACTTTTGAGCAGTGAGTAATAGTGGCAGAGGTAGTAGAGTTTTGATAAACTGAAAAAAAGTTGCCGTTTGAGGCGTTATTAAGTCCTTTTCCCTTAGCATGTGTTGTCATTCTTTCGTTCTCAGCATATGGCATTCCCAGAGTGGTTTCTAAAACACCAGTGATCCATAAGACAATTTTTATTTTTTCTGATGTGGCTCTAATCCTAATGGATCTGAGGAATGAAATGGTACCAAAAGTTGGAAATGATGGGAGGAATTTTCTTCTTGAAGGAAAGTCAGTCAGGGTTTGAAGGGGAAGGAATAAAACCAACCGTTTCCAAAAGAAAAGACTATACTTTTCCTGGATGTGGAAGACACATTTTATTGTGTTTCCACACGTCCTGGAGAATAAAGGACAAGTAAATGGAGTGAAAGGTTAAGGTTCTGGGAGAAACTCTATCAGTACATGTGTCAGAGCGCCACACCGAAGGCACGCTGTGACTCTGTGCTTCTGCAAACTATTCCCATGAGTAGTCTTGGAAGAGGCCAGTACAAAGTCAACACAAAATCAGAGACAATAAGTGCATCAGGCTAGAGCAAGTGCCGGGCTCTGCTCTTTCCCACACGTATGTGCTCGCGTGTCTTACACTTTGGAGCCCCATCTCGTCCTGAATATTATCAGGTATTAGAGCTGAGGAAAGTTTTACCAGGTCAGAAGGGCGGGTAGAGTTTCATTTTAGCTGTAAAGCCTTTTATTTCTTATTGTTGAAAGAACAAGACATTTTGAGCCTGGAAAAGGGAAGAGAGCAGGGGAATAATGAGGTGTGTTGTTTGAATTTGTTTATTCTCAACTGTTCTATCGATGTCTACATGAAGTACAATTGAGATGTAAAATTGTGTTATTTTTTTAAAAGCTCTTTTTGAACATAAATATATTGACTGAAAATTCATGGGCTCTTACCAAAACATCTATTAGGAATTGAATAGGCTTTTTAGCAAAAGGCTTGAGGGTATACTTTGCCTTTTTTTCTTTCATGTTATTTTTTTATTCTTTTGAATATAACTACTAAAAATCAATGGCATATAAGGGACCTAGGAGTATGCAAAAAATAAAACTGAAAATAAGTTGTTTAACAACAAAAGAATGTTTTTAATTAAATCACTCAAACAGATTTTGTCCTGAGAGAGATAATTAGCAATATATGTAGCATATATATATTTTTTAAATAGTGCTTGCTATCCACTAGAATATTCTACTTTTTTGGAAATTCTCTATTCTGTACTATCCAATATGATAGGCGCTAAGCTTGTATGGCTATTAAGCATTTGAAACTGACTACTGCAACACAAGAAGTGAATTTTAAATTTTATTGAATTTGAATTAATTTAAATTTGTTTGTTTGTATAATTAGTGGCTATTGTATTAGACATTTCGGCTCTAAAGGAGATGGAAAGTAAAATAATAAGCCAGGCCTGAAAAAGAAATTTCCTAAGATAGTCAAGAAAAATTCCACCAAGGGTAGACATTTTTGAGTAGTCTAGGCCTGTAGATAAGTGTCAACAAACAGCATTCCTTGAAATTTGAGGGATGCATTCTGGAACTGGGGCTCCAAGAAACTTAACAACAAATCGTGAAACTGTGCTATTCTGTAATCCAGAAATAGCAGGATTGAGTGCTACCATTTCTTAAAGTAGAATCCCTACTTTTCAAAACCTTCTGTATAGTACTTGTGAAAGGCGACAGAATTAATACAGGTTTACCAACAAAACTAGATGAAACAAAGAAACAACATACACGGTGACTCATTGATATAGATTGGTCAAAAACGGAGTTTGTAATTTAGTGGAGGCCTCCCTGTGTATAACATTCTTCTTGGAAAGTCAGCTAAGCATAGAAACAAGCAAAGTGAGGCAGCGCCCACTGTAGTTTGGCCAAAGCACTTTCCACGGATGTACCAACCCGATGACTGACAGGGATTCTCCCAGAGGCTGCAGCGTCCTCAGCGCCCCCTTCATCATTTCATAAATCCATTTGGCTTGAAAGGAGCCCTTAATAAAAAGACACATCAAAGGAAATATGGAAAGCCTGGGCCCTGTCATTAAATTTTAAACACATTTTTCTTTCTCTCTTTCTCTCTCTCTCCCTTTTGTTTCTTTCCTTTTGTTGTTTTGTTTTCGGGTTTTATATTTTGCTCTGAAGACCACAGCCTAGTAAACGACTAAATAATTCATTGGAAAACAGCGATGAGTGGGGGATAGGCATTTGAAATGCGGTGGACAAAGCGAAGTAATCATCAAAACCAGCCAGCCGCTGATCCTCTTGAAACTAGACTTTAAAAATATAAATTCTGCACGTACACAGCTTCAGAGTGTCTAGATTGTGGTAGGTCTGGTCTCCCCAAGGGGCACCACAGGTCCAGCCGGAGAGCTCATCTTGCTCCTTGTTGGTGAAATACACATTACATGATTTCAAGATCAAATATTAAAAATTTAAATGTCTTAGGTATAAAATAAAAGCCTCAAAATTGGACTCTGTGACCACAATATAACCTCCTCTGATTCCGATGTCCCCAGCATAAAAACAAGTACAGGATTTTTCTAGAGAATTTTTATAAAACCACAAACATCATTATGCAGATTCTTATTACGTTATGGACCAAAGCACCCATGTACCTCAGCGCAGAGCTCATCAGTCTTGTGGGTAGTTCATTCTGTCTCCCCACCCAGTAAGATAAAGTTTTTCCATGGAAATTGGAGTTTGAGAACAAGGAATGTAGCACACAAAAATGCCTGAAAAGACTAAAAACTGTGTTGACTCCGTGAGAATGTGGGTAAAATGGACACATCTAGATTTTCTCTAAGGGTTTCAATCCAAGGAAACTTGCTACACCAAGTGCTACCTAAAACCTAGTTATCAGATGTATCAGTCAACCATGAGGACCCTGGACGTGGTCAATCTGGCTTTGTACAATCACAGCAATAGACACATTATTGCAAACCTCAGGGTCCTTTTGTCTTATTTTTTATTTGCTTCTTACTTCACCAGTATTTATGCAGATAGGAGCTAAGCAATAATGAAAGCATTAGAGGAGAAAAACAAACAAACCCAAAACAGGTATTAGATAGGCATTTATTTCTACTGCAGGAGGAAATAAACCAGACACTCCTTTTTATCTTGTTATTTCAAGTTATCTGTATAGTCACAAATTCGATACTGTCTCTACTAGAGCTTTTAAGAAGCAATGTGCAACATCCTTAGAAGAAATGGACTTTTTTGAAATATAAACCAAAGCGACAACCAAATTGATAAAAACACTCCCAGGAAATGAGGAAATTACAGAAAATAGCCAGTTATGTTTTGTAATATAGCAATACGGTTTCTAATGAGTTTTCCGATTGAATTAATTGTATTTTTTTCTGTTCTTCTCATGTTCCCTTTCATCATTATTGCCATGCATTTAACTCATTGTGATGTGTTACCACTGATATTTATTTTTTAACTCTTTTATTTATGTATTTATTTGTTTGTTTCATTTGGTGGGTTTTTCAACCCAGATCCCACTGACCCAGTTGATTATTATCCTTTGCTTGATGATTTCCCCACCTCGGTCCCAGATGTCTCCACCCCCATGCTCCCACCAGTAGGTGTACAGGCTGTGGCTCTTACCCACGATGCCGTGAGGGTCAGCTGGGCAGACAACTCTGTCCCCAAGAACCAAAAAACGGCTGAAGTGCGACTTTACACTGTCCGGTGGAGGACCAGCTTTTCCGCGAATGCAAAATACAAGGTGAAGTTCTCATGGATAGTATGAAATTTTAAATGAATGATCATTTGTTTAATACTTTGTATTAAATGGTTCCTGGACTGTCATGAGTCATTTTGCTGCAGTGACACTAAATGGAAAAACAAAGCATTTTAAGAACTCAGGATGTAAAATTAGCACAGGAATAATTGTGTCTTAGGAAACAATTCTAAGGCAGGGGAGAAAAACATCAAGAGCTGTCAAGAGCTGCAAAATAATATTTGAATTCCACCAGATGCTGGATTTGTAGAAATTAATTGATAAATAAGTAATTCTATACAAAAGAAGGCCATTTTCCTTTGAAAACAGCAGGGGTCCGTGCTAATTTTCTGGCTAGATTTTGGTGTCTTTCTTTTCATTTGGAATCCAGATTGACACCAAAGACAGCCCTATTAATGTTACAGAGGTCCCATCTTAGAGTGACTATAACTGGGAATACACATCTTGAAGACTTTTATAGCATCCCTAAAAAGCACTCTAAACCACCAATACCTATTTCCTTCCTTTTGCCTTCGAAAACCCTCATGCGATACAGAAAACTCACAAACACACTCTTTTAACTAACATGAATTAGACAAGCCCACTTATTCTTGTCCTATCACTCAGTCATCTCACAACCCCCTGAGAGCTCCTTAGAGACACATATTTGAGGCATTGTCCTTACTACTTTCAAATCTCTATCTCAGCTCGCCACAGCAACTGCAACAAATAGTGATACACTGGGATGATTTTGTTACTCCCTAAGTCTGCCACAGTGTTAGTATATATAAACAATACACAAATGTAGGCAAAAATTAGAAGATCAACAAGTGATTATCAAGCACCTACTGTGTACCCAGAACTACGCTAGATCATAGAGGCAGGTAAACATGGTTTAGTTGTTACTTAACATGTTGCTTATCATTTTGAAATGAATAATACACTGAACTCCATAGATCTAGCTCAACAAATTCCTAAGTTATTCAAGTACAATAATATACCATGTTTCCCCAAAAATCAGACCGGGTCTTATATTAAATTTTGCTCCAACTATCTACATTTATTCATTTATTCATGTACAAAAATCTGCACTTATTTCAACAGTCATGTCTGGCTGACGCTCTTAACTGGGGCTTATGTTTGGGGTAGGGTTTCTATTACAAGCACCCTGAAAAATCATGCTAGGGTTTATTTTCCAGTTAGGTCTTGTTTTCAGGGAAACTTAGTAGGGGAACACATTGAAAATATAAAGCTCACAAGATGATGATATGGGAAGAGAGCTTGGCAAACAAGAGAATAAGTGTCACCCAACACCCATGTCAACAGTAGTTGAACTCCGGCACGTCAGCCTCTTCGGACTCCCCTTACCGCCCTTCTCTTCACCATTTGACTAAGGCAGCTCTCAGGGGGAATTTGGATCATCTCAAACTTTGTCCAGTGGTCTTCCTATTAAACCATCCTGTTGCTTCATCTGGCGTCAAGTCAGTGGTGATTAGGGGAAGGAAAATAGCCGTTGGGAATTTCTGACTATAAGGACCCTGGAGATAAAGCAAAGTCCCACCAATAGTATTTTAAGTCAGCGTCTTTCTTCGTGTAGCCATGCTCTGGATCTTCTAGCCTCTTTTCACTTTTAAGTGGCATAACATTCACATTCCATCATAAATCCGTTTTTAGTTAAAATCATTTAAAAAACAGTTTTCTTTGGTACTGCCGCCCTGCTCGGTCAGATATTTGGGAAAGCTCTCCAGGCAAGTCCAAATAGTATCATTGATATAAGATACTGTTATAAGTACCCTATCCATCTCCTTATAGTATTAGATTTAAGGCTCAGCAGAGCTATAAATAAAGATAACATTATCAGATAAGACAACCAATGAAACATATGAGAGCACTAAAAAATACCTCTCTTTATATATAGATTGCCCAATTCTAAATTTACTTTAAAAAGACTACTTTAAAAATTTTTATGCTCATAATTGCTGTGCTTTGTAGATACATTCATTTCACAGAAAGGCCTTGGGTACTTTGCCAAGATGTGAAATGTTCTGAAGGACAATGGTAGTTCTCTGCAGAATAGTTTGAGTTCCAAAATGTCTTGAGGCACACTATTTCCGTTGAATGTTTAATTCAGCAGACACGGAATTACTGAGCCTGACAAAGAATGCCAGTAAAGTGATACCCAACCCCAAAACTATCCTCTGTAAAGGCAGGCTGACTTCTTTCGTGGATTGGAGTTTGGGAATAGAAAACAATATATTTTAACCGTTTCTCTCCCCATCATCTTCCTGGACCTAATGCTTTCAATTACTAACACTTCTCACACTTGCACGTTTGACATTTACACCCTGAGAAAGACACCGTTTAGAGGAAAGAGGTGAGTAAATTGGATAGCAAGGATAAATGCAGAACATATCCAATCCACTAGAAAGACATACAACAAATGTGAATTTTACAGATAATGGTAATAGAATGCTTTGGCTTTGCATTTTGAACTTTTCAAACGACTGTCATATCTGTTATTTCACCTCATTCCCCGCTATAGCTTTATGACGTAGACAAGGCATACACACGATAGAGGGGGAAAAACACAAACATGTGCTCAAATGACGTGGGCTCAAGAGTTGACTTCACAGGGTCCTGTCATGTCACTTAACTTGCTCAATCTCAGTTTTCTTGTCTATCTGATTGGACTATTCATACCTGCTATAAAAAAATAAGGAACATTCTTAATAGATAAGTATGTTTAGATATGTTTTTGAAGACATAGGTAGGTTGTATAGCTTGACAAAAATTCCCCCATTAAACTAGAGCTGGGACTCAGATGACCTGATGGCATTATCCAGGGTTCTACTCACAGAAGTACTTTTCTACTTCATTTATTCTCAAATCAAGCCATAATCCAGACATTCATATTTCCATTGTCTAAAACCCTGTATTGATTTTCCTTATCAAATGGAAAAATATTCTATAATTTATTTTCTACTAAAAATGATGAATCACGTGTTGTTTTATATGACTTTCCATTCAACACACTCCATTCATTGATTATTGACTAGTGCTTACCAGGTGCAGCATGGGCCTAACAGAACACAAAAAAGTGTGCAAGACTCAGTCTCTGCCCTCAAGATGCTGACAACTCAATACAGAATATAACACTTGCTGGAAATTGTATATCACATTAAACAAGCATGAAATGTTGTAACTAACATTTATTTAATACATACTCTGGGCCAGATACTATGTTTTACTTATTTCACCTTTTAAATAATGCTGTGGTTATCTCTATTTTATAGATGAGGAAACTGAGGCTCAGAGAGGTAGTGCCCTGGGAGTTCTATGCTCACAAATATAACTGGCCATGATTTTCCAAAGTACTTCTAGGCTAATGATTTGTGATGAGCAGTAACTTTCCATGGGGTTCCTGAGGATACTCAATGAATTCATTGAAGGTATTTATATAAGGCAAGTGTGTCATTTTAGAACACAAACAGAGACAATATTGCTTAGTGGCTTCACAAATGCCAGTGCTGTCTATGCTCAAAGACACTAGTTTTATCAAAGTGTTATCCTTCCCTCCTAGCTGAAACATTTCTCATGGTCCCATCTCTCCCCTTATTTCCATCTCTAAGACTTAGAGGTGTTCATGATGATAGTGAAGGAAGGCAAGTTATATAAGGCGGTTATCTATATCAGCATGTCAGATAGAAGCTGCCCATTTTGTGTTTTATTTGATGGGATTCCATCTTGAGTCTACAAAGTATATTTACATGTATTTAGGTCACACATTTTTACAGCTATTTTTACGAAGAGCTTCTGATAGATATTTATAAGGTCATCATTTTAATAAGATAGATGGTCCCACCATTGAAATGCTATGAGTACAGTTAAATATTTATTTAGTTTTGTAATGAGATATAGGATTTTCATGGCTATAACCTAAGAAGGATTCATAGTAGAGTAAAAAATATATACCACACTAGGGTAGTAAAGGAGGGAATAGGCATTGTTTACCACAGGTGGGGGAAAAGAGATGTCTTTGTGTGTGTGTGTGTGTGTGTGTGTGTGTGTATGTATATATATATATATATATATATATATATATATATATATATATATATATATATAATATATAATAAATTTAAAAGTAAATGTTTAACTTTGGAAGAAGAACAAGATCTAAATACCAAGGACAAATTGATATTCATAAGAGGCACAAATAGTCTTAAATTTGCCTGATCATATAAAAAATAGAGATTAACCTGAGAGAGTAACCTGTTTTTTCTTAAATGCCATTTTGATATTTTGAGTAAGCAAGAAAGACAAGACTATTTACTTTCTACTAAAATATCTTCAAAATGTTATTTAAAAGACAAAAAATGGATTCAAAAGACAGACAATATTAACACTAATATGACCCTTTACTATTTGTCTAGTTTGTTGTTCTCTTCCTGACCAATTGTTCCAGTGACCATACTTACATATCTGTTTAATGAGAATTATGCACAGAGGAAGAAAACCATGTGACACAACATTGCTTTTGTCCACTGTCTTTATAGTAGCCGAATAGATTCTTGAATCACTACAAGTTTGTACCATAAAGGCTTTTTGCAGAAATCATAAGCAGAACTCTAAAAATTAACTTCAGTGGAAAGTAATCATGATAATCTATGTAAAATACATAACATCAAAAAACTTGGATTAGTATAAATAAATTGAAATTAAAGTCAGAGCCAACAATCTTAAAGATGGAAGTGGCGGCAGGAAATGGAATTGGTCTTCTCACTGTGGTTATTGCCTCTCTTGGGAAAATTTATCAGCTAGCTGCCCCTTTGAACAATGTAACACTTGATTTTGTCGATCATGTGCAATCAGACAGTGTAAACTAAGTGACAGAAAGGAAGTGCTATGTCCTAACTCTCTAGACTCCATTTTTGTTGGCTTATTTGATGGTCTTTTTACATGTCTTGATTTACCAAGTTGCTAGAGTTCATTGTTTTTTTCTCTCCTTATTTCCCACTTGTATAGTCAGAAGACACAACATCTCTGAGTTACACTGCAACAGGACTCAAACCAAACACAATGTATGAGTTCTCAGTCATGGTAACAAAAAATAGAAGGTCAAGCACATGGAGCATGACTGCACATGCCACCACGTATGAAGCAGGTATGTGAAGAAAGGCTTCAAAATTTCTTCTTTTGATATTTGGTAATGGTGTATCCCAGGGTCTGTGGAAGTTGGAACACAATGCATTTCGGTGTCTAAGTTACACCTTTTTTATATAAAATATTTTATAGTTTATAGTTCATAGCACTCTGATATCTAATATTATCCTCCCCACTCTCTAGAAAAGAAGAAAATGAATCCTCAGTGGATTAAGTAATCTGGTTTCAATCAGGGCATTAACTCGGGATCTGAATAGAAATATTTTTGATACATTTACATAAGGGTAGAAATCTATTCATTGAACCCTGTTCAAAGCATTTGTGTCTCCCTCATCAACAATCATGGTAGGTATGTACTTTTTTGTAACGATATATACAAAATAAAGCATTACATTATAACGATGGCCTCATGGATTCTTACCCTAAATAACCTCAGCTGGGTATGGGAAGAAGTTTCCAGGGGGTCGTGTTCACTATTTGGAAATAAGGAAACACAATGGAAAACCTTCATGCAGTCTGAAATAGCTCACATCTAGGATAAATGCAATTCACTGTAAATTTTACCAGTCACATTTATGGGTCATAAATTTTGCGTGTGTAACCTGAACAGACATGCAGTTTGCTTGGCATTTATATTTCACAGAGGTTCAACATCTGAAGAATACAGGGTTTAACATGCTTTTTAATTGGTTTCATGTATTATATCATATTTGGGGATAAACTGCACCACACATTTCCAAATTTTAAAAAAATCGTGACAATAAAACTCTTCTCTGGTTAAGCTGAATTTCTCTTTCTATTAGATTTTGTCCCATGGCATCGTAGATCAGATTTTTATTTTGGGCTATTATGTTAACTCAGTGAGTTCACTGTATTTTTACATTTTTGTGGACACTTCTTTCTATAAGTAGCTTTCTAGAGTGTCTCATTTAATTTCAACACCCTCTTCTTCTGTTTTACGTGTTTACATATATTAACTCTTTATCTTGGAATTCTGCCCTGCAGGCCAATGTTCACACCTTCTTAGGAAGAATAAGACAAGCTGAATGAGTTATGTACTATGGGGAGCATAAACGCTGCTCTTCCTTTTTATTTAAAATCAGACAAAAGAGTTCAATGTAAACCAGTAAGACATGTGGCCTTCCCTGAGTGAAAGAGAAGGAATAGTAATTTCCTCCTAAAGCAAGCAAATTTATTCATTTTCCATTTTCTAAACATAAATTGCACACCAACATCTGACTTGATAAATGTACCCTACTGATTTCTCATCAACCGCCTAACCTTGTAGGGACTCCAATGGTGAGACCCATCACTGACCAAAAGATGTGAACTTTTAGAAATGTGGTTAGTGGGAAGGGTGATTGTCAAATCAGATAATGATCTGGACAAGGGTGTAAATAGTATGTGGATGAGAGCTCTGGGTGATGATGAGAAGCAGGAAGTAATTCACACTTATCTGCAGGTTTTGCAACTGTGAGAAGGAAATGAAGTGAATGAAATGACTTTAGGGCTCACTTTTCTAATTCTGCAATAACATAAAGACTGTATGGGGCTGTATTGTGTGCACTTGCGCTGAAATTGCGCGTTATAAAGGTAAGGGTGGCAGGAAAATTGTTGAAATAAAACATTTCATTCTGCCCAGGTGATGAATCTTGAATTTTACTCTAGTTAGCTTAAGTAAAATAACAATGACTGGAATGATACCTGAAAAAATGAGGTCTTAGAAAAGGATAAGAACCAGCAGTAATCCCAGTCTTTAGAGATGGAGACCTATTGGACTGTCCATCCCATCAGTGATCTGATAGGATGTGTTTTTCTTCCCTGTGTTCACATTCACTTTCCCAGAAGAGAGAATCACACAGCTAAACTAAACAGAGAGTGGGATGAAGGCCATGAAGCTCACATGTCACAGAGAAGTTTTTACCAAAGGAAAAAGCCAAGTGCTTCTCGGAAGGAGAAAAGGATGGGAGTTGGACAGTCCAAATAACAAATGACCAGTACAATTTTCATGGCTAGAAATCAACTAAATCTTAAATGTTACCTTCCACTTATGCCCTTAAAGAAATTCAAACATGGGAAAAATTGAAAACCAGACAAACCACAGGGCAGTGCTTGTCCAGTCAGCTGAGATATTAATTATGAGTTGCCAATAACATTCATTTGTAAAATTGTCAGGTCCTGAGATAGGGACTTGGTATAAAAAGTAAAGAGATTACAGCCTATATCTCTGAGAGAGCTAGAATCTAATACAGAAGAAAAATGTTCTTAAAAAAACCCTCAAGTAACATGAGAAATATCACAGAATTGTGGGTAAGTTGGGATCACAGCAAATAGATCCAAGTGTAAATTCTGTCTGGAGAAATAGGCGGAGGTTTCACGAAAGAAAGAATGACTGAGCTAGGTGGATGGATCATCTGGGACCCAGTCCAGTCCCTTCCACAGGAAAGGAGCAGCATGTACAGAAACACACAAGCAGGTATCAGAAAGACATCTTTAAGGGACACTTACGAATGGTTTAGAGTGACCGGAGCACAGTATTCATGGGACAACAAGGGGAAGTGAGGCTGTAAAAGAAAGTCTAGGGCCGGCTGAGTGGTTCACTTGGTTAAGAGCTCACTCAAGAGTGTGAGCTCTGAGCAATAGGGTCACTGGTTCGATTCCCAGCCCGAGCTGAGCTGCCACTGAGCTATCAACAGGTGGCAGGATGACACAGCTAAAAAAAATTAAATTAAATTAAATTAAAAAAAGAAAGTCTAAATCCTGCAGAGTCTGGTATTTATTACTTAATGTTATTTATTTATATTTCATCCAAAATGGATGGGTAGTTAATGAAGAATTTCTAAAAGATTACTCCAGGCAGAACCCATGAGATCTGAGAAGGAGCCAACTAGAGACATTCTGCTTGACTCAGGAAGGCTCACTGAAGTTGGGAAAGCAACATGGTTTCCCAAATGAGGGAATAGCTTGCAGTTTATATGATAATCCTAAACATTTGAGCTATCGCTTCTAATACTAGAACCTCTATTTACCAACATTCACATGGCTTGAGGAAAAAGAACAAAGTTGCACAACACCTGAAATAGATTAGTTGTTAGATTGTTTTGTTTTGTTTTTAAGAACCAACCTTCATTGTATTATTTTGCTATCTAAAGTTGGAGTCATTTTATCTTTTTTGAATACCATAACAGGTTCAGTGAAGCAATCTAATCATCATTTGACTGCTTTCTATATAAGCATCAATTTCAATCTTAACACAGTTAAGAAAAAACAGACTACTCTGACTACTTAAAAAGACAGATCTTTTAATTTGTACCATAATTGGAAAATGCCTTATTATTCTTCGTATAATACTCTAAGTCAGTTTGTGACTATACAGAAGGTGACAAAAAAAATGTATACACACTTTAAGAAAGGATAATCTGTATTAAAACTGTAATACTCAATATATACTGATAACAAAAGATGAATACAGGTCATGTGTATACATTTTTTTGGCACCCTGGGTGTATCACCTTTCTCTTTGTGGCTTAGGACATACCTTGAATGAACTCTTTATGATAGATGTGAATATTCGGTGTCTCCTCTGGCATTTTATTTAGGAAAAGAGAAGCTGGAAATAGAGCATTGATAATGCTGAGAATCTGTACTCTATGAGCAACAGAAGGGCCAAAGGGAATTTTTAAAAATAAAGAAGAGCCCAGAATTAAGACCAAGTTGTACCTGTCTCCTAATGCACAAGCATTTCTGTGCAGAGATCAGAAAGCTCCTCCAGAGCCTAACCACAGAACTTAGATATGTTCTGAAATTGCCGGTGTCAGACTAAGAGTAACTTAAAAAGCCTACGGATAAAGGCTTGGAGCACTGTGAGCTACCTAGACTGAAACCTCGCTGCATGCCAAAGCATAGAGATTGAGACAGCAGTCAAAAGAAGCCTGGAAGATACTGGATTGGCTTGGCCAACTTGCTGCCATCTTTGAAGTAGTTAACAAACAAAATTTAACTGCGTAAACTTTAAAGTTCTTGGCATTGTTTAATGATGAATGAATTGGCAGCATCCGATCTAACAAGTAGGACATAGTTTTGAGGTGCCCTACAAAATGGAAGGATTTTATAGGCAGAAGGGGTGGAAAATGGGCAATTTCTAGCAAAGAATGGATTATTTCAAGGAAGGTCACCTTTCTTTGGAGAAGATCAGGAGTCTACCAGGCAGATTACCTCACTAGTGCTGACCAGGTAATTCCAGATTGACTGGTTAAAGGAGGCATTCCAGGGAGAGGCTGAAGCTGAAATTTAAGTCTTGGTTTGCTGTTGTGGGGTTTACCACAGGCCACTCCATTTGGGGCCTGTGGTTTCCTTTTAAACAATTATATTTAAAATTTTGTTGAGCATAGTACAGGGGAGGAAAAATAATTTTTCTTCCACCCTTCTAGGTTTTTGGCTGAGACCCCCGCCCTGTAATAAAAGACAGATTAACAGGAGAAAAAAAAACAGAAATTGAATAACATGTAACCCTCCTGTATACATAGAAGATACCCAGGAAAACTAAATAGCTCTCCAGAAATGGCCCAAGCCACCACCTTATATACCATCTCCTCAAAATCCAAAAGAAGATATTAGGGGGTGGAGCCCAGTTATGGGAGGTTTTCAGGCAAATCACAGTAAAGAATGGTATGGTTATTATGTAGATATAAGTTGCTTTCTTCTCCATTAGTAAGAGTTCTAGAGATTTTGTTATCCTCCTATTCCTGGTATAAAAAGAAGGGAACCCTTACAACTGGAGATTTCCCTTATAAACGTAAATTTCTCCTACAAAGCGTTAACTTCTCAGTTTTCAGAGTTTGGCCTTTGTATGCTGTTTCTTAAAAATATCTAAAATGATTTAGATATAAAAATATCTTAAAACATCTAAAATGATTCTTATACCAAAGAGGCATATTTTTGTGTGACAAATTCTGTTCCCCTTCAAAACTGTAGGAAAAGTAGCTCTAAGAAAGGCAGGAGTTCATTCCATCTAATTTCATGCCAGGTTGATACTAAGATCCTCATAAATCCTTACCTCCTCTGTTTTCAAATATTTCTTGGCCTTCTTGTTAGGAGATATCTACTATGTTACCTCAGCAAGATGTTTTGACCTGAGTTTAAATTCATGTATTCTTTTCTGGGAGGGGCTGCTTTTAAGGAAATATAGAATTAGGGGACATTTTCATTTATAAATCTTACAGTCATAACAGAATTCTGTCTCTTGGAGACATGTAGTCATTAATCTCAAAAAAATATGCGTACATTTCTTTGTTCTTATGATGGTTTTTACATTCGTAATGTAGCGCTCACTTGATAATCCCAGTTAGACTTTTCTCCTCTAGAGTCATACATATTCTCTTCTCTCTATATTTACTCCTTTGGAAGTCATTTAACTTCCATGAAAAAAACATTAACTTCTGTATTTTTATTTGTTTTGTTCATTCCATTCAACTACTTGAAACAAATTGCAAATGGTGAAATGAGCATGATATACTGCATGATAGATTCTGAGTGTCAACATCATGATTAGAAGTCCCATAAATGTCTGTTTTCTTTCACATCCAATGACAAGGCCTTGTCTCGGTTTCATCTCGCAGCCCCGACCTCTGCTCCCAAGGATTTGACAGTCATTACTCGAGAAGGGAAGCCTCGTGCTGTCATTGTGAGCTGGCAGCCTCCCCTGGAGGCCAATGGCAAAATCACTGGTAAGCTCCTCAGCTCTAGTTCCAGCCTCGCTCTGCTTGGCCTGTGATCGGCTGCCTTGTATGTGCTGCCCATGCCTTTTGTGTGTTCATTTTCTGTCCCAGAATTTCAGTTGACTTCCTGACCCTTTCTGATTGTCTCATCTTGCCCGCACTGACCGTGGAATTCTCCTAATGGTGCATACAAATGCGCGCACACACACACATTTCATTTGAGCTGCTTCCTGAAAGATGCGTATTTCCAGTATATAGACCTTTTTGTTTTTCATTCTGTGGAGCCCTAGGACAACCTTCCAATGGATTGCCTCTGAGCACAAATGACTAAAAAGAAACCTATTGTTGTTTGGAAATTATAAAACACAAAAGACACCTGATGACCATGTATTTTTGTATGGTGCATATAAAGAAGGGGGTTTGTCTATTTGGGGGATTGTTTCTCACTTAGCTTTTAGATTCTTACTTAAATCCTAAGGTTCAGAAAACACTTAATATTGACTGACAGAAATTGAACTTAATGAATATTTCACAGTGACAGATTTTATTTTACCAAATATTGCTGATAACATCAATGCCTAATTAAAGCATCCATTAGAAGCCTTTAATGTTAATTTAGTATGAAAAATATAATAAAGTCTTATCAGGGATTTTGCCTTTAAATAATCACTTTAGGCTTTTAATAGATGTCTTTGTAGCATATAATTATTATGAAAAATATTGTCTATCTAAAAGTGTGCACATTCTAGTGGAATTAACTTGAACCATTGGGTTAGACACATGTAAGAGTCACTCCTTTTTTTCCTTATTGCATGCAATAGGTGGATAGCACTGTTATAAATTAACAAAGTAATTCAGTCATTTTGTGATGCAGAGATAAGCGTGGAAATAATAGTTCAGATGACACTGTTATTTTATATGAGTTACTTTCTGAAATTTACAAATGAAAAGATAATGTGAAAATTCCAAATGTGATTTAAATTTAAGTTGAAGACTTGTTTTCTCTAGAAAATTGCTCTTAGTGCAATAGCTAACAGAATTTTCATTTGAGCTGATAATATGGAAAAAGAAGAGGGACATAAAAATCTTTTCCAAATCTCATATGCGCAGCTGTCACTCTGCCAGGCTTTTTAAAATGGAAGGCAGCTCATTCTAATTTTCGTCTTATTTTCCCCTCAGTGTTAGGATCCATTTTCGTTGGTTTGTCTATTTCAGTACTTTTGTAGGCTTTGATTGGGTTACATGATGCCTATTTTGTTATGTCATAAACAGTTATTTATAAGCATATGGTAAATCAACAGATAATAAGTTTAAGAAGAAAGAGACAGAAGTTTTCTAAATCAAAACAATTCTAATGGAAAAAATATGTGTTTACAACTGTGAAAGGAAGCCTTATTTAGCGTTTCAGGAGAAAAAAAATGAAAGTCTGCCCAGTATTAAGAAACATAAATGAATATAAGCCAAAAATTCATTGTCCCCAAATCACAGGTTATGTATAAGAAACTTTGTCCACATATTTTATTTAGAGTTGTATGTTCAATAGTTCCCATTACTAAAAATGTATTCTCTAAAAATGTATGCTAAAAGTATGGGAGGCAATAAATACTTACCTTTAAAAGCCTAGTTTATTTATGAAGCCCAAATTGTGATTATCAATTTGAGATATTTCAACTCAGTTCAACAGAGAGCAAACACTAAGAACCCTTAAGACACCTTTTGTTCCATACATATTTTGATTCTTTCAAACAAATTACTTTTAGAAAATAGGATGATAAAATGTTCAAAATAGCAGACCATTAGACAGAGGGCCCACATTTGCTACACTCGGTTTCTCATGGGAGTGTAAAGGATAATGTGAGCTCTATTCCAATGTTCCAGGGTAGGGGTGTGCTTACATGGGGAGACAACTTCTCTCCCTACCTTTATATTTCTTTGTTTTCCTAAGTCTTTGCATGTACACAGCAGTGGAGCAGGGTGGTTAAGAATTAAGGACTCAAGCTTCTGAGGGAGATGTCTGGGCAAATGATTTAACCTTCCGGAGTCTCACTTTCTCATCTATAAAGCGAGGATACTAACAAAACCTCTTTGGTAGAATTGTGATAATCAAACACTGAAAAAAGTCCCTGATGCCCAGTAAGTACTGAAACAAATTAGCTAATATTATTCCAATTTGAAATCCATTCTAGGAAGAGGCTTTACTGATGTGCTTTGCATAGAACCCAGATCATCAATTTGTAACTATATATACTTCAAAAAAGATTAAACAAAAAAGAGGACGAAGGAGAAGGCCCAGATAATTCCAGTGTGTAAATTCCTTGATCATAAACTGGCATCTTACGAATTTGGACTGACATTTTTCAGAAGAAAATGGTTTGAAATGAGTCAAGCATTTATTATATGCTTGGAATATCTTCTGAGCACTTTACTATTATAAGTGTCTATATAGTCCTGTTATTCCATTTTGCAGTGAAGAGACAAGGGCCTTCTCTGGGGTAAATGACTTTCCCAAAGTCAAATAACCAAGAAGTAGCAGAGCTAGGTGTTCCGTGAAAAGGCCGTGTATGTAGAAAGTGGCCCCCAAATGCTGAAGGAGCTGAGACCCAAAGAATGAGTCAGATAAGTCCCCCTTGTTAGTTCATGATTTTAATAAGGAACTCGCATAAAGAGACGGGGTCCTGGGTGGCAGCAGGACACTCAGGCCTCTGCGTCTTTCACCCCCTAGACCACCTCCTGTATCCCTCCACCTCCTCACCACCACCAGAGATAGACCTACGTGCTAGAAAGAAAGGAACATGTGGGTGGTCAGAGGGGAAATGGGAGGCCAGATACGAGAAGGCCCTGGCATCAGCTTGAGCTAAATAAAAAACATCCAGGGCACCTTGTCCCAGAAGAAGCATTAATGGAAACTTCATGATGAGCCAGAAGCCTCTATACTCGTTCCAGAGTCCACCAGAGGGAAAAGGAGGGTGTCAAAGGTCAGGGCACATTCACTCAGATGGAGTCAGCTCTGTCTGCACACTAGGATTCAAAACTCAAGTTAAAATTCTCTTAGCCATTACACTATGTGTCGCTCCAACTTGTTAGTTTTCTGCTGCTCTCAGTCAGTGATTCTCGATTTATGATTTAATTTATCTGAGGAGGAACTGAGCATGGTATTTTCTAAGTGATTTTAATACAGCTAGAGCTGTGAAACATTGATCTAAATAAAGGCAACAGCCAACATTATTTATGACCAGAGATCAAAATAGACAGAGGGAAGAGTCAGGTCTTCAGAGATTGTCACCTTATCATTAATGGTGAAGGTTATATTCACCTGTGTCATTTGATACTCTAATCCAGTTCCTCTTCCTTGAAATTCTCTTCTCTCTTTACTTTTGTGAAATCACCTAACCACTTTTCTTCCCACTTCTAGGCCGTATTTCAGTCTTGTTAGCAGACACTTCTTCCACCTGATCCTTAAGTATTGCCTTCCAGAATGCAGACCTTTCTATTCTCTTTGTTACTTTCTCTGAAAAAAGTGTCTATACGATAACCAGGGCTTCATTGAGCACAAATGTATGTCTCTGAAATCTGTATCTCCATCCAAGGAGTTCTAAATATACATGTGCTACCTCGTATCATACATTTTCACTTGCTTATCTGATTGGTACCTCATTCTATTCCTTAATCCATCTTTCTCCCCTACTTTCTCTCTCTCTCTCTCTCTCTCTCTCTCTCTCTCTCTCTGTCTCTCTCTGTCTCTCTCTCCCCCTCCTTCCTTCCCTCCCTTCCTCCCTCCCTCCCTCCTACCATAACCTGCTAAATAATGCACTATTATGGTCAGTAGTAGGTTGTAGGACCATTAAGGAATATGGACACAGCTGGGCACTCCCTCTGAAATAATATGTGTCTAAATATTCTGACTCCTATCATTTCAGAAGCCTCCACAGTTCACACAGTTGTGTAAGTTGGAAATTTCATCATCTTGACTTCTTCCTCCTCATCTCCTGTCCATATAATCATGAGAGCAAATCAAATGCTTATAGTGTAAGGCTGTAAATTCCATGAGAGCAGGTTTCAGATTTTGTTCAATGCTTCTCCCCAATAGCAATATCCTTAACACGTACTAGGTAATTAATAAATATTCATTGAGTATAGTAATCATTGACTTGCTATTAAATCTACTGTTCGACTTGAACCAAAAGTTTCAGCTCTTCCAAATATGACACTTCCTTAAGATTTATTAGTATTAAGAAAGAAAGAAAGAATGGCTGTAGCATTTATTAAGTAGTTACTATGTAGAAGATAATATAATAGAAATACCCCCATGTATTAAGCTCTTAAAATGCATTACCTCACAGCAACTTATTTTCCAACGAGAAAATTGAGACATACATAGATTAAGCAAGTTGCTCAAGATCATAAATAATAGAGCTATGATCTGAAGTCAGGTCGTTCTGAATCCATAGCCTGTTATTTTTTTACCACAAAGAAGGAAGAAATGGGTCCTTCCTTCCTTATATATCTACTTATATAGATGATTATCAGAATTAATAGTTTTGATGCTTAAAGCTCTCATTGGGCGGAGCTCCTTTTTGGTAGGGGTCACCTTGGTCTTGCCCACACTGCTCGTCTACCTGATTGGTCCATGGAAGGGAATCAGTAATGAGTGGCGAGAGTATGGAAGAGGCCGGAAAAGAGGAGAGAGGTGGATTGAACACTTTCTGACACTTTGCTCTAGAATTACAACTGCCTATTTGTATAAGTAGAGTCAAAATGACAGATGTATGAGGTTACATTTTATATATATTTAGGCAAATGTTATCCCATTGTGGGCGTGCCCAGGTGGGCCAACAATCCCAATTTTGCAACCTATGACAGGACATAATACTTCATTAGTTGCCCAGCTGTGGTGGGTAAGAGACAACAATGAAGTAGCAAAATGTTAGAGAAAAGGATGAGAAAGACAGAGACTTGGACACAGAGAAATGAATATATAGGTAGAGAAAGGTAGTGAGAAACCAATGAATTTGTTCCACCCTATGTGGTTAAATGGAAATCTATAAAGTAAGACTTTTATAATGGATTTAATATCCTCCAAGCATACGACACTCACATATCCAAATGAAATTGTATGTTTTCTTTAAGGCCATTTCTTAGTGTTGAATGATGTAGTGTGTTTTTCTACTCCCCATCTCAGTTCTTAAATTTACCGAAAAAAGATAGGTTTCTCCACCAGTATCAGGAAATTGCTCAAGTACAATTTGAAGTGGTCAGAACTTGATGCTTGTATCTTCAGCCTTACTTGATCCCTAACTGTCATTTTAAATGCTCAATTAAATACATTTTACATACAAAAACAAACAAACAAAAACAATGAAGGCAAATATTTTATTCTCATTTGACAAATGAAGAAAATCATGAAAAAATATAGCTGACCTGGAACAGGAATATAGTTCTTCAAGTTTTCAGGTTTATCATACACTTAAAACACCCCATGAAAACTTGAACAATTTAATTAAATGTCATGACTGGAAAACTTGTATGCTTCCTGGCTAGGGGATTTCATTCAATAAGTGAGTTTCAATACCTATTATGTGATGACTATTTTATTAGTTTTTTTGAAGAATAAAATGTAATATAAGATATGGCTCCTGAACTAAAGAAATGTTTTTATTCTTAAGGCATGCACATAATAAAAGCTAAAAAAAATATTACAAATACCAGGTCTATACAATAGATATAATTCTTTGGGGACAAGAAAGGAAACTGCTCTGGCTCGAAGAATATTAGAAGATGCTATTGATGTTGATCATAGGGGCAGAGTTATAAATGAATGGACATCTATGAATCAGAAACAGCTCTTTTATCCAATGATTCTTCAGAATTCTTTTTTGAATTATAGTCTTCCAATGTTAATACGAACCAGAGAGAGGAATCTTACAACCTTTGTAAGTTTTGCAGAATTCTTTATCTTGCTCTTTTATCTTCTGAGCTCCCTGCACCTTAAGACATTCATATCTGCAGCATCACCATCTCGACAAATGCATCTATGTACAGATTCCATATGCCAATAAAAACAGTGATTCCTGACCTTGCTGAATCACAGAAATCATCTGGGGTGCAGATTCCTGGGGGGTTAAATTGAACCTGTTGTACTGTCGATTGCTGTGTTACAATATCACCACAAATTCAGCATCTTTAAACAATACTCATTTGTTATCTCATTGTTTCTGTTGGTCAGGAATCCAAGCACCGCTTAGCTGAGTAGCCTGCTTCTGGGTCTCTTAGAAGGCAGCAATCAGGGCTTTAGACTCGATGGATGTCTCATCTGAGGCTTGACTGGGGAAATATTTGCTTCCAAGTTTATGTGGTTGTTGGCAGGATTCAGTTTCTTCCCGGCTGTTGAGCAGAGCCCATCCTGAATTCCTTACCACATGGCACGCTCCATCTGGCAGCTTATTTCATCAAAGCCAACAAGGGAGAGAGTCTACAGAGTGTGCTAGCAAGATAGAACTTATAATCTTACGTAATCATGGCAGTGATAGTTCATCACATTACTGTATTCTGTTGGTTAAAAGCAAGATTTAGGTTCTGTCTACACTTAGAAAGGATTACATACATACTACCAGGAGGTGGGGGAAATTGGAGGCTATCAAAGTCTCTGTCTGCCACACGTATTAAATCAAAATGCCCTTTCTTGTGATCTATGTTTTGTAACTTGTACCCAGCCACCAGGTAATTCTTATGATTGGGCAGATTTGGGAAACACCAAACTCGGGAAAAGGTCAAAGCCAAAGCAGAAGAGATGCAAGCTTTCAGCGTTGATCTGAATTTTAAGAGAAATGGACTTCCGGATCTTGGAGTTTACACAATTGCTTAATCCTGTAGAATCACAAGGAAGAAAGATCCAGTTGATTGTCTAGAACACATCCCCCAACCCCAAGCATAATTCTGTACGTCACTGTGGGATTAGGTAGTGTGTATGGTTATTTGGGGAGGGAAGTGAATCTCAGTCAGGGAACCCTATGACATAAACATTGAAAGATCTATGTATGAGGCTCCCCAGTCCAGATAGGACAAGCAGGACTCAAAAGGAAGGAATAAATGAATCAAAGAAAGAACACTGTTTTTAGAAATATGATTTTAAAAGGATGTATTCAATACATAAGAATAGAACTAGGGATATTTGTGGCCTGATGCAGATATCATTGCAGAATTTCGACAAAGATAGAGGCTGACACGGTAGTCATGTACCAAAGATACTTACGATGAACTTTTTTACACTTCCATCTGATAGTGTAATGCAAAATTATGAATTGATGCTTTTAAATACAAGCTAACTTGCATATCAGCAAAATATAATGTAAAATATGAATATTTTGCAGGGGTACCTCAATTTGTGTTGGCACATATTAGATTATCACCACTGAGTACCTTACTAGCATTCAACTAACACATCCCTTAACATAGAGGGTAATGACGCAATCAAATGGTAGATTATTAATATTTGAGACATTAACTGAATAACCTACAGTTATCCAGAAATACCTTGTCTTTTTTTTTTTTTTTACTTTCCTAGGTGGGGTGGACTAGGAGAAATAGTGTTGGATTTTTAGTATGGCTGTAGAGGATATTAGCCTAGCGTTTTCACCACCTAGCTTGGATCATCCTCAGTTTCATCATCTGTGAAAGGAAAGCAACCATGCCCCTGCCAGCCTCACAGAGATATTACAATAATCATATATGATCATTTACTTTTATAACACTTTATACGTGCACTGCATTTTATACTTTTCAGTGTATTATTTATGCATAAGCCAAAATAAACATTACTTATTTTCATTATTGGAATACAGTAAAAATTATACAGACTTGTTATCCGTGTTTTACATTTTTTATCACACTTGTGTATTAGAATAAACCAATAATCAGAATATATAGACAGCAGAAACTTTGCATTTTTAAGTATGACAGATATTTTTATTTCTAATAGCGCATTTCATTTTCAGATTCTGTACACTGAAGCAATTATTTATTTAACCTTGAAATGTGAAAAAGAATTATTACTTGTTGAACCAAATACTGTAGTTTATAGATTGGGGCTAATAATAATCATTGCAAATTATATTTGAGAAACACGGATGTTTGGAGTAGAAGTTTAGCATGCAGTCAGTACACTAAACAAAGTTTGCATTCATCTATTTATGCAGCTTATATCTTGTTTTATACCTTGGACAAGAACATACCAATTGATGACTGGATTATGGAAACAATCAGTGGTGATCGGCTTACTCATCAAATCATGGATCTCAACCTTGACACTATGTATTACTTTCGAATTCAAGCACGGAATGTGAAAGGAGTGGGGCCCCTCTCTGATCCCATCCTCTTCAGGACTCTGAAAGGTTTGAATCATTCTATTATTGCCTTTCTTTTCCTATGAGATTGTTATAAAAATAGTTTTGGATTTTGTGTTAGGAATTGCCCTATACCATTTCTGTTGGCAGCATGAGTGTAGTGAACATTTAAAATAAATTAAAATGCAAATTAAAACCACAATGAGATATCACCCCACGTCTGCTAGAATGGCCATCCATCATCAAAAAGAGAAGAGATAGCAAATGCTGGCATGGATGTGGAGAAAAGGGAACCCCGTGCGCTATTGGTGAGGTTGTAAATTGGTGCAGCCCCTATGGAAAACAGTATGGGAGTTCCTCAAAAATTAAAAATAGAACTACTATAGCAATTCCACTTCTGGGAATATATCCAAAGGAAATGAAAACACTAACTGGATATGATACCTGCACCCCCGTGTTGGTAACAGCATTATTTAAAATAGCCAAAACATGGAAACAACCTGTGTTCATCAATGGATGAATGGTTAAAGAAGTTGTGGTACACATACACAATAGAATATTATTCAGCCATTAAAATAAACAAACAAAAAACAAGGAATTCCTACCATTTATGACAATATGGATGGATCTTGAAGACATTGTGCTAAGTGAAATAAGTCAGAGAAAGACAATACTGTAATATTTTACTTATATGTGGAGTCTTAAAACAAACAAGGAAGCAAACAAAAACACACCAAACTAATAGAAAAGGAGATCAGATTTGTGATTATGAGAGGCAGGGCTGGGGAGGGGGAATTGGAGGAAGGTGGTCAAAAGGTACAAACTTCCAGTTATGAGATAAATAAATACTAGGGATGTAATGTGCGGCACAATGACTACAATTAACACTGCTGTATAATATATAGGAATTTTGTTAAGAGAGTAGATCTTAAAAGCTCTCATCACAAGAATTTTTTTTTCATTTCTTTTTATTGTATCTACATGACATGATTTATGTTAACTAAACCTATTGTGGTAATTATTTCACTATATATGTAAATCAAACCCTCATACCATACACCTTAAACTTATACAGTGAAATATAGGTCAATTATTGCTCAATAAAACTAGAACAAAAATAATTAATTAAGGAAAACGTACCTTTTTGTCCTGAAAGCCAGCATGTCAAAGAAAAATCTATTATATTATTATAGGTTCTGCCATCAGCCCAAGGCAGACGTTTTAACTTGGCTTTTTTTCATTTACAATCCTTTTGGAATTTTATATTGATTTTATGAATATTGGTTCTATTCAAAATATAATGAAACCCTTTTAGCCATTTTATGTAAGGGAACAAAAATTTAAAAGCATTGAATTGTGTGAATGGCATACTCTTGCCAACTTTAAATACTTTCTTTCAGGAACTCTTGTCCTTACCTATTAAAGGAAATTTTGGTATGGCAAGACAGAAAATCTCAAGCAAAATGAATGTATTTTATTTTAAGGACTCAGGATAGCAGTTATGAAAACAAATATTGCAGAATGATTAGAAGAAAACTCCACATGCTTGCAAGAATATAAATCAGTACTTACTTTAAGGGTAGTTTTATGTTCATTCAGGAAAATACTGAGGCCCAGTAACAGTAACCACATCAAAATAATCTTTATGTAAGTCCTTTCTATTTTAAAGCACAAAATTATTTTTTCTGGAGGACAAATGGTTACAAGAGTCTCTATTATTTATAATAGCAATTGAAGATAATTTAAATGTTTTATAGCTGATATTTAAAGATGTATTTTTGAGACATGATACGTGTTGTTCTAAAGAAGGATATTTGGCTCTTAAATCTGTGATCACATTATGCCTATATAGCTGGCTAAAAACTTGATAATACACGATGACAGGCAATTTGAAAATTAGAAACATGTTGCTGACATTTTCACCCAGTTGCTTGACATACTAAAGAGGAGTCTGAGAATAACTGTATAGTCTATTTCTCAATTCTCCCAGAAAAAATACCCTAATCAATAGTGGGCTTTTGAATTCTGGTGAGCCAGCTATTCAAAAGCTGGAGTTGGTAACACCTAATCTGAAACTTTGCCATGAATGCACAAACAAGCCTTCAGCCTAAGCCTGCGTGACAGTTCTTAATGACAAAGTAGGAGCTGAGAGGGGGACAGGAGGAAATGAGCTAATCTGTGTCTATCCAGGTTTTTAGGGCTTCATGTCTCAATCAGGTTGCACGCCAAAGGAGCAATCGAAAGGAAACTGGTTATTCATTTTGTGGGAGCATAAAATGTAACTAGATAATGTTTCACAAATGCTTCATCTTTATCTACAGATGAGTGCCAAATTAATTTTATGCTCCTAGTGGGTGCCAACTAGAGATCTCAGGGAGGGTTAAAGATGACTTGAGGCAACCAAATGTACTAAGCAGCAGAATGATGACTTATCACAGGATTTACAAGTCCACACTGATAATCATCCTGTAGGTTACTTAATGAACTCCATATCTCATTTGGTGCTGTTGCCCTAAGCGCCCTAAACTAACCTATGAAATGATGCTCAGAACTGAGAACAAATACAAGAATTTGTTATATGTCATAATAGTCCATAAGCGTTATTTCTAATATCCTGATTCTAATGTTTAATATTGTCTACCCTAAGTATATCATGCTCCATTTATAGCCAGTTAGATTTTTTTAAACAAATCTTGCTCAAAAATAAACTAAGTTTCAGATATCTTAAGTGTACTTTAGAATATTCAGAAATATTGATTTTGCCTGTCTTTATCAATAATTGGTATTGTACACACATACATCTTACATGTCACTTCAATGACAAATGCTCCAAGGTAAAATAAATCACTCCTCATAAGATATTTGAAGCCACAATGAACCAAATCTAAAGATATAAAATCGCCATGCTATTGCTCTTTGATTTAAGATTTTTATTTTCCAAAGCTGCTTCAAAATATAAGGCCACTGTTCAGCAGAGTGTAACTTTGACAGACAGAAAAGCTCACCTGTTATCCTGAAGCAGAGGAAACTCGAAGTAGTCTACTGGGTAACAGGCAATTGCTTTATTGTAATCACGTCCCGGGCAGGTGCCCACAAGCTTCATTCTTTTGTATTCAGTCTTTGCAAAGACAGAAGCATTTTCTACTAGAGACTAAAGTTTTGTCTTTTTTGGTTTTAGCCACCAGCCAGAAACATACAGAAAACTCAATCAGTAATCACTGGTTAATTAAAGGGACATTTATAATCAAGAAGGGATTAAGTTCCTAAACTCTTATGTGCATGAATATATGTGGTGTGTCTGACTCTTTCCTTGGAATGTTAATTAAAAGACTCTTGAATTGATTCTCTGACCACATAGGACTCTGCAAATGCCCTCCTCCCTTTCCCAGATCCTCTCATTACAATACCCACACGCTGTCGAATGCTTGGAACATGTGTAAGTCATGCTTATCTCTGCCTATCAGTTGTCCAGCCAGTCAAGTAAGCTTCTCTGTGTTGGCCGGTCAAGTAATAGGGAGGAAGGACGCTCCTGATGGAGCAGACAGACCAAAGAGGATTTCTGTGGGGGGATGGAGTCACCCTCAATACACGAAGAAGCAGAACTTCAGCGATGAAAGCGCAGTAGAGTATGGTGTGTTCTCTGGACACGGGCATCCTTCATCATCATCCTGAAATGTGCATCTCTCCCATCCAAGGCTATGGAACTGTAAGCCCTGTACCAGAATACACAAAAGTGTTAGTCTTCAAATTACTTTGGGGCAAAATGCATGATTTTTTTGACAACTGACACGAGTTATTAAAAAGACACAAATTACAATACTTTTAAGCCATTATTTGTCTTTTAAAAAGTAACTATTACAATACATTTGGTCCATGTGGGGAAATACTCTTCAGTGGATAACCTTTCTTGAGACAGTCACTATTTCTCAAGTTATATTCAGTCCAGATTTGCTAACCGTAAAACAAATCCAAAAGACAAGCATGAAGATGAGATTGTCCACCAGAACATATATTTGTCACTTGCAAAAATATTTCTTAGACTGCAGATAATATATGTATATAATGAAAGCCAAAGCAGAGATAAAGAATGGAAATGAGATGAGATTGTTGATTTTTCTTTTTTTTTTTTTTTAAATATTATTCCAAACACTTTTCCCCTGAATATGTGATGCTGATTTTGGTAGTTTGTCTACTGTGTCCTATTCTGGCTACCAAACTTTTACCCTTCCTGGATGGTGTGGTCCTTTCCCATTGTTCCTGGGAAACTGGTATTGGCACTTCCTACAACATAGCATCCTTCCTTAAAAGCTGCATTAGAATCTTATCCCTGTCTGTAAAGTACAGATAATTCAGTTACCTCTCAACAGCCCCCTAATACTATAATACAATGTATTTGGAGAAGCCATTAGTCTTCAGTGATAACTAGGAGAAAAAAATCAAGACAAAAATTAGATCATAATGATGAGATTAGAACAGATTAGATTAGATAATCTGGTAAATTTAAAACTGTTAAATCTTGAAGTGCTACAAAGACATTTATAAAATTTATATAAAGCTTATAGAATCTTAATGTAATAAGCACTCTTATGTATACCATTTTCCAATGAGTCATTCAGAATTCAAAGTCTACTTCTTATTGATACCATTCCCAGTTTACCATTTTTATAGAATATGCCTACATATTACTTTAAAATTTTAAAAACTGTAAATGATCTCTAGTTTGGAAATCTGTCCTTCTATGATGTGACATTAATAAACCCTGTTCATCTTAAAGGGGCTTTTGTTAACAGCATCATTATTTAAATATTTTGATTCTATGTATTCTTTTGGACAATAATCTGTGTTCCTTAATTTAGAAAAGGAAGGGCCACCACCACAAGACTTGAAGTTATTTTTCAAAGAATGAAGATGGATTTGCTAGGAGACTGCCACACATAATGAGAGAACTGACTAGGTTATAGGTTGCTGCTCATAGGAATGCTATTATATTTTTCTGTGTGAATTTAACTGAGGCATATAAAAGAAGCAAACCAGCAAGTGTAGGAGTCTATGTGTGAAGTTTAACTGCAATTGAGTTAAATATGCCCAGAAGACTCAAAGCTCAAAGAAAATCAAGTATAGGTAAAATCATTCTAATTGATGGAGACTTAAAAGGTATACACTGGTCAAAATGCCATATCACAATTTCTAGAAAAGCAATGATATTAGAGATTCAACTCCCATATAGTTACATTTGGTTAATCAAAAATAAGTCATCTTTTAAAAAATTTTGAGATTTAAAAAAAATTTAAAACAGAAACAAACTGATAGACACCGGCAACAGACTGGTGGTTACCAGAGAGGATGGAAGGTAGGGGGAAGGGCAAAATGCATAAAGAGGGTCAACACGTGGTGACAGATGGAAGTTAGACTTTTTGGTGGTGAGCACGCTGTAGTGCAGTGGTTCTCAACCTGTGGGTAGCGACCCCTTTGGGGGTCGAATGACCCTTTCACAGGGGTCACCCAAGACCATCAGAAACAAAAAGATATTTACATTACGATTCATAACAGTAGCAAAATTACAGTTACAGAGTACCAATGAAAATAATTTTATGGTTGGGGGTCGCCACAACATGAGGAACTATATTAAGGGGTCGCAGCATTAGGAAGGTTGAAAACCGCTGCAATGTATATAGATACAGAATTAGAATGTTGTACACCTGATACTTACATAATATTATTCATTGTTACATGAATAAAAGTAATTTTTTTAAAAAAGAAACGAACAAGGAAAATGTCACTTTCCAGAATATTACTCATAACACAATTGAAGTTGTGAACAACTCAAGAGTTTTCTTCACAAAGTCTAAAAATGTATCAAACCATTTAGATTAAACCATGTTCATGATATTTTATTATTTTACTGTATTCATGTGAGAATTGGTTAATTTCTCTTATAAAAAATGAAAACAAGAAAATAGCTTTCTTAACTTATTTAAAATATATGGGTGAAAGTTCCTTGGTAATCGCATGCGTATTTTTGCTATCAATTATATATTTAATTAAACTTGTATGATGATTATTCTGAGTTTATGGCTAGAGGAAATGTGACAAATAACATTTTTAAGAACACAATTATACAGCAAAAACATTATTTTTATTTTTTCCTCTAGTAATTTAATAGAAAGAATCACATTAACCTTGATTCCTTATCAATTGTATTTCAATAGGGCATTGGTCTTCATACGAGAATTTGCCAACAACTGTTGATTTGAAATGTCAGCTTTCTTGCTGGGAACTGTCAAAGTCTAATAATAATGTTTCTTTTCCCCTCACAGTGGAACACCCTGACAAAATGGCTAATGACCAAGGTATGGTGGCTCCATCTGTCTTTTTTATTTTTTCCCCTCCTTGAATCCATCTTGTCTGTTGGAAATGTCAGTCATTATTTTGTATTCCTCTTTTCACCTGGGCCATACACCTGATGAAGCAGACACTGGAGTGATAATTAATCTTGTTAATGAAGTTCTGCTTGGCTGAGGCTGAGCCTTTGATAGGGAAGATGTAAATTTTCTGGAGAGGAAATTGTTTTGTCTCTATTCTGAAGGACCAATTAAAATGTCAAGCTTCTTTGTATGAAATAAATTCTTAGTCTCTGTCTGCACTTCTGAATAATTCACATTAAGTATAATTAAGCTCAGCATAATTTTCAAGCTGCTTTTCCACCCTTTCATGAGCTGTGGATTAAAGTTCAGTAACTCTACAGAGAAACACGGTAAATTATGTCTGCTTTCCCTCTACAATGAGCTTTTAATAAATAAAAACAAAGTTAGGTCAACTTTTTTTTAGGGCGTTACTATTGTTCATTTTGAAGCCAGAGAGCTTTCATTTCATGAATCAGATGCTAGTTGACTTGGAGTATTTTATCCTCTTTCCATGCTTTTGCTAAAAGTGGATTTGTGTAAAGAAACAGGGATGGTTTTACACAAAGGAAAATGGAGATAAGTAAGTTATCCATCAATTCACAGGTAGATACGAATTTGCTATGACCATGACTTGTAGAGTGATAAATTAGGATTCTGTTATTTTTACACTAAGGGTAATAGAATGCTAGAGGAGAAAAAGGATAGTTTATGAGTTTGATTTTTTTCAGGATGTTATATTCTCTAAAGAAGGGGGGGTTTGGAAATACTCATAACTGGTTATGGTCAGCATTGGTATTTGTCGGTTCAAGGTCTACTTGTATAGTTTGTCTTCTGCTGTGGACATCTACTGGCAGCAGAGCTTACTTACAAGCACCATGTCTTATAAGGCCCTACATTGTAGATTGGGGGAAAACATTCTTTAACAAGAATGCTTTTTAACTTTTGACAGGTATTAAGTATCTGGTTCTTAAGGCTCACTAACAACAGAAGGTTACCTATATGAGTGGTATTTTATTTAATGATCCTGTGTTCAGGTTTGTATCTGGTCCTTATACTGTGTCTCTTCTTCAGAGAACAAGGCTGGGGCTTCAAACAGAGAGTAATAAACATGACACTGTGCACAGTAATGTCTACCCAGAGTTAAAATTTTTATTAATCACCTAGCTGCCCCACTTGTTTCCACTTAAAATATTTTCGTAAGATCAATATCTACTAAATAGTAATCTTTCTGAAACTATTAATAATGAGTAATTAGCAGTTAGCATATGTTTACTTAGGGAAATTAAATGTTAGTACTGACCAAATCCAAAGCTGGAGTAATTAATTAACAGAAGTGGCTTTAGTATTTCAGTTGTAAAATAAAACAACCTCTCGTAGCTTTCTTAACTTAAATGAATTTGTAACTTCTATAGGCATATAACTTCTAGCTTTTGAAATTATATTTACAAAAATTATAGAGAGGGTCAAAGAGAGGAAACACACACACACACATACACACACACACACACACACACACACACACAAATTTTAAGTAACTGACCCAGGTGAAATGTTACATTATTAGCCACTTGTATTACAACACTCTCAAGCTTCCTAATGAATGGATTTCCAGTTGTCTCTGGATTCCTTTTAGTTGTTTTTTGCTGTTATTTTTCAGTTAACTTTTTAAAAATATTATTTTAAGCTACCAAAATATATTTTGTACATTGATCCTTTTATAAAAGAAAAGACAATAAATGATTCCCCAGTTGCTCTGATCACACACTCTCCATGGATTTTACTTAGATTTTCATATAAACAGTAAAATTAGATCAATTATCAGGAACAAAAAGAATTCCCAAGATTTATTGCCAGTGGCTGAGTCTGTTAACATTGTTGGGCAATTGTTCTTTTTCTTCATCTAACATTACTTAGAAAAATCCTATCACATAATACACTCCTTGGTTCTTGATCCAGTCACAACTGGTAAAAGGTTGGCCAAACTGATAGGTTCTAAATTTTACATCAAACAAATCATTTGAAAAATTAAAGGGGACTGATTATATCTAATTTAGTGGTTATAAGTAATATCTTTACATTCTTACAAAAAAGCATATCAAATTTTCTGGCCATCCAAAGCTATTTATAAACAAAATAAGTTTCCTGAGTTGATCACCAAGTGCATGAAAAATAACCCAGAGGAAAGATCCCTTTAAGGTTGATGAAAATAGTAGGAGAAAGCAGTTCTAGAAGTTTCCACTCTTAGCATATAGCCTATCAGTTAAATATGCTTAACTGTGCTCACTGTTAGACCAATTTGTCTCTTCTCATGGCAAAATGAGCCCCGTTAGACTTACAACAGACACTGAATTTCTGTTTAGAGAAATTCCCTCTGAGAAAAAAATTAGCACCCGGGGTCAAAGTTAACCTTGCAAGGATGAAGCCTAAGTAGACTTCATCTAATATAAGAGAAAATGAGAAAAATTTTGATTGTTTAAAAAAATATATCTTTGTAGGCTCTTGTCACAATTTCCTGTTCTTGGAATCTATTATCTGCCTTGAAGAGGATAAATGTGAAAACAAAGTCAGTTATATTTGAATCAGTTGTGATTTGGGAAAAATATTGTCTTCTGAATAATAGTAGAAGTAGTCTGAAAATAGTAGACAATTTGCATAGAACCTTTTTATCCTTTATGTAATTATAAATTGATTGTATCTCACATTTGCTTAACCCTCTAATCTCAATCTACTCTATAATTCCTCTTTTTTGCTTCCCCTTATCTCTTGTTCCACTTCTTAATTATTTCTCTAGTCTCTTCCAGGCATAAGTGGCCAATAAATTTGAAAGTAATCATGCAATTTTAGGGATTAACCAGAGTTTAATTTTGGGGAGGGTCAGGTAGGTTAGGGAAATTGTGTGAGCTATGGGAAGTGGGTGCAAAGGGTATAGAAATGCTATGCTTTAATTTCATTTTCTTCTTTCTCGTCCATATTTTGGTAAAATCCCTGTCACTTTGTGTCTGTATGGGCATGTATAATGATAACCACTCCGTGTTCTAAGAGCATAACATGTGTTGAACTCATTTAACCCTCATAACAATACTGTGGGAGAGATGGTATTGTTTTCTCCATTTAGTGATGGAGAAGCTGAAGATCAGAGAGTTTAAGCGACTTGCCTGTAAACACACAGCTAATAAGTAGCAAGGCCTTGATTCAAACCAGAACAGCTATGTTCCAAAACCCCTGTGTTTAACCACCAAATGTATTCATTACATGTATGTTACATATATGCATACACAACCCCCCACACACATACACACACACACACACACACACTCTTTTGACATATATCTATAAAGTTTCTGTATCTAAAGTTCATGTATGGATATTTTCTCAGTATTAAACTTTCTTTCCCCAACTCTGTGAATAGTTTTCTAAAAAAAAAAAAAAATGGCAAAGAGCTCTCAATCTGGGGCGCCTTAGTGGGAACTCACAGCACTGAGTATGTCGGATCCTGACAGTTCTTCATCTTAGGAAACAGGGATGACTCTAATTCCACTTAGTCAGCTCAGGATACTAATCCAAAATACCAAAGGCTGGGTGGATTAAACAACAGAAATTTATTTTCTCACAGCTCTGGAGGCTAGAAGTCTTACAAGACCTGGCAGGGTTGGTCTCCAGTAAGAGCTTCTTCCTGCACTGCAGACATCTACCTTGGTGTGTTCTTCATGATGCAGAGAGACTGAGCTCTCTCATGTCCCTTTTTACAAGGACACTAATCCTATTGGATCAGAGCCCTACCCTTATGAACTCATTTAACCTTAATTACTTCCATAAAGGCCCATATCTCGAAACACAGTCACATTGGGTATTAGGAATTCAACATATGAATTTAGTGGTGTGTGTGTGTGTGTGTGTGTGTGTGTGTGTGTGTGTGTGTGCGTGTGCGTGCGTGCGCGTGCGCGCACGTAGGGGAGACACAATTCAGTTCATAGCACCTACCTTCCAAAAAAAAAGCAGTTCTTTCCTTCACTAATTATCTTCCCAGGTTTTCAGATGGGGAAGCAGATGATATTGTTTTACCCAAGATTACAAAACTATAGTTGTGGACAGAGTTACAACCCAAACATATTTCCCTCTGATTCTAAGAGTCTTTCCACTGTAGACTGCTACTATATTTATTAAAAATTTGGCTTTTTGTTTTTCTACAATCAGCTTAAGTCTTCTAGCGCTTCTCACAGATGCATTCATAAAATCCTCTTGTTTGGGAGCTACAATGAAGATAGCCATACACTAAAGTATGACCAATTCTCAAAAATGATCATTACATCAAACTTTTAATCTTAAAGGATTGTTTTTCTGTCCTTTGATTCAGTTTAACCCCCAAATACTGTTCTCCACTTTAAGGGGTCTAGGAGTAAACATTGGTAATTCTTAGCATGCGCACAAAATGTTGACAAGTTCATGGGTGTTTCCGTGCCTGACCACTGTGTCATTAGAGGAGGCACTATCCCCATGACACTGTACCTTAAAGAGGGCAGGGATCTTCATGGCATGCTCTGTAACAGCGCTGAGATGAATCAGGAAGAAAATGCTTGCTTCAAGCACTCTCAAGTGTCTAATTCTCCATAGCCTGTAGAGGGGTGATCTAAAGCTGAGGCCTGGAAAAGAGGCCTAAATGCATAGGCTAGTTTATTGACCCAGATGAAGGCAGCCTGCTGAGACCTGGCCCCCACTGTGGGTGGGGAGAATTACTCTCCTCTGAATCATGGGACTGGCTGATACTGCTCTGGCTTTCCCGTCAGAGGTCACTCTGTGTGCTGGAGAGCGGTGAAATACAATCAAATGCCTCCAGTTCTAGCTCCATCCTGCCACTGTGACCTCCTGGTGACGTTGGGCATATGACTGAACTTCTCCCAGCATCCTCACCTGTAAAATGCCCACATGATCTTTTGGTTTCTTTCAAG